AGAATGAGAAACTAGAGTCCTTTATAGCTAAATGGATGCATATTGAGGCCATACTGTTAAGTGAAATAAACAGGACACACATGTAAATACTGAATAGTTTCTCTGGTGTGAGAAACTGAAAGTGTAAATAAGGATCAAAATGTATAATATAATGTGAAACAGGAAGAAAAGGGCCAGGGATTTAGGTCAGTGGTTCCATCGCTTGCCTCGCAAGCGCAAGGACCAGAGTTCGATCCCTGGTACAAAAAAAAAAAAAAAAACCAGGAAGAAAAGGTCTAAAGGGGAAGAGGAAGTGGGAGGAGTAGGGGAAAGGAAAGAAGGGAAAGGAAAAAACATGAGAAAAGGAAAAATGGAAACAAAGTTTTTGTAAATAGGGAGGGGTGGAAGGGTTGAAGGGCAGCAGAATGGGAAAAAAATAAGAACCAAGATATACCATGTAAAGGTACAAATTCCCAATGATGAATGTCATCATATTGTATACCTAAAATGTACCAATAAACTTAAAAAAAAAAATAACCATCATGAAGTGGGTCATAGGAGCATGGGTATGACCATGGGTGTGACTTTAGCGTGTCCAATGAGTGACATCTTAGGCTTGCTCAGGTCTCCTGAGTAGCCAAAAAGGACCTGCACAGCAGACCAGAGGTCGCTTAAGGTATGCATGAGGTTGGAAAATCAAATTGAATCATCGTTCAAATATTTTTTCCAGTTTTTTTTGTCACTGCACCTTTTATTCCTGCAAGTCCCCTCACTCAATATATCCTTTTCATCAGCCAACTTTCCTCATATGTCAAATGAATTTAACTCATATTTCAAATGTTTTCTGTCCCCCGATATCCTTTTTATTCATAAAGTTCCCTAACTAAACTGACTTCCTCCATACCTGAAGGTCCCCAGGACTCTACAGGCCAGAATTTAGATTAGAACATGTTGTGGCTTATATCTAGAAGTCCCCCAAAGCCCCATGTGGTCTTAAGTGGGGACTTTCAAAGATGGCTGGGTTAGGACGTGTGAATGTAGATTAAGGGTGTGATGCTGGGATTAAGGGGATGGATAATGGAAGCCCCATGCTGGGTGTGTGTGGCACTAATCAATAGGTTTACAGTCTGGATGGAATATAAAGGAAGAAAGGGAAGGCAGGCTTGCTGCTTGCTGCCTCCTGCCTACTCTGCCATACCATTAGCTGTTTCTCCCCTATAATACTCCTCTGTCATGTGCCGCCCTGACTTGGAGCCAGCCGTACATGGACTGAAACCTCTACAAACTGTGAGCTACAATAAACCTTTCCTCCTTTAACTGGTATTGGGAATTTTGTCTCAGCAATGCAAAAAGTAAGGTAGAACACATTCGACTTTTTTGCTTTGCTTTGTTTTTTGAGAAAGGGTCTTGCTATGTAGTAATTCAGGCTAACTTTGAATTCATTATGTAGCCCAGACTGGCCTTGAACTCTGGATCCTCCTGCCTCAGCCTCCCAAGCACTGAGATTACAGGTGTGCCCCACCATGCCTGGCTTCAACATTTAACAAATATTTATGGAGTATCTGCTACATATCTGGCACATATATGGACCCAAGACAAGGTCCATACCCTCACAGAGTTTATATGTACTTTTTCCATAGGCTTTCCTAATTTGGAGAAATTAAGAATTCATTTTTTTAATTCAAACTGCTTTTTATTACCATGATAATGAATATCCTACTCTCCAAATGAAAAATACTGAAGTAGCTAGTGCACTTGGGCCCATGGGGGACAAGCCAGCTTTCTAGCCAAGTCCTGGCTCAAAGAGAAGGCAGGGGTGGGCTGGCAGGGGTCAGTACAGGAGGTGGCAATGAGCTGAGTCTCTTCAAAGTGGGCTCCTCAGGGTAGGGAGCTGTGCTGCGGGAGTTGGCTGGCCTGGGACAGCTCCTGGAAACGGCAGGAGGGCCTGAGACCCCCAGGAGGACTGCAGCAGGGCGCTGCTCCCAGCTGTGCAGCAGACACTGTAAGGAGATCCGGTCCTGGGATGGAACAGGTTGGGCAGCAGACATTGAAGGCTCCTGCGAGGCTGAAGGGCAAGTGTGTGTCTAGAGGCCCCGGACTGGGCACAAAGGTGTGGATCACTCCATTTCTGCTCTCCACCAGCTTGAAAGCAGATGGTCTGGGCGTGGGGCTCTGCTTTCTTCTCTCGAACACAAGGACCTGAGGACAGCGGTGCTTCCAGGTTCCTTTTGCCGGCTTGGCCCCAACTACAGTCCTTCCTCTGGGTCTCCACAGCCTCGCAGGGTCCCAGGCCGACCACGGGCAGGGGCACCTGGAGCAGCTGGCTGAGCGCTCAGGGCCGATCACCTCGACTCTTGGCAAGCTGTGCAAGGGAGGCTCCAGGTCTCGGAGAGCCCAGCGCGGGAGGCGGGGGACCCTCCGGGCCTGGAGGCCCAGGGCCAGCTGGCCTCTCGATCGGAGGACCAGCCTGGGCCTTGCAGCCCCAGGGACCGGTGCGAAGGGTGCCAGGGGCAGCAGTGACAGCATCACAGACTTAAGCTCCCCCGGGTAGCTGCTCAGGGAGGCGTCCATGACAGCTGGAGCAAGTAGGGAGGCGTTAGAGGGCGAGTTCCGGGGAGACCCAGTCTGGATCCCAGACTCCGTGGACTGGGCAGGAGGCGAAGCTCAATGGCAAAGCACACAGGGCTCCGAGGAAGGTTGGCTTTGGGGTGCAAGCCAGGCTCGTGGGACTGCGGGCACGGGCGAAGCCGTCCTCGAGGGTCAGGCTCAGGTCAGCACTGCGCCCTGGGTACACGAGGTCATCCCCGCGGGGCCACCAGGGCTACTCTCACTGAGACAAGGATAGTTGCAGCTTCCCTCCTGGCCTGCCCATTGCTGCTCAGGGAAACAGCTCTGGTTGGAGGGAACTAGCCAGGGCCTCCAGCTTTGAACCTGCCCTTCAGAAGGACAGTGTCAGAAGGGCTGTCGGCAGATGGCTCTTGACAGAAGAGTGCTGCCTTTCCTATTCCTAAAGCAACCAGAAAACATTCAGATGCTTCTTTCTCCCTTTTTCTTCTTTTCTTCCTTTTTTCTTTCTCTCCCTCCTTCTCCCCAACCCACTCAAAGAATTTACTTTTCAACTCAGTAAGTATAGAATGCCTAGGGACAGCATTTGCGATGACAGTCTTAATCACTTTCTTGTGGCCTGGACACTAAATACCCCCTCCACATAGCATAAAAGAGGAGAGGTTTATTTTGGCTCACGTTTTTAGACCAAAGTTGCCCAGTTCCGTGGGAAGAAAGCAGCCCAGGTTATGGAGAGCAGGAAGCAAAAAGAGAAGAGCCGAAAGATGCCCTTCCGGGTCATACCTCAGTGACCCGCCTCTTCCACCCAGGTCCCGCCTCCCAACCATACTTAGCGATACTGGCCTCCGATTCAATCACCTTTCAAAAGCCCTACCTCTGAGCACATTAGGCTTTTGGGGCCACATCTAGTTAACCACAACACTTACATGATTTTAATTAAATTTAACAAGTATTTATTGGGTGGCTGATATGTGCCAGGGTGGGAATTTAATAGTGCACAAGACACTAATGGTTTCTGAAAACAGCTTTATTGTGATAAAATTCACATGCCATACAATTCACCAGTTTAAGTGTGCAACTCATTGGTTTTTTGTATACATAAAGCTGTCCAACTAGCACACTCCAAAAGAAACCCCAGGCCCATCAGCAGTCACTCCTTCTTCCAACTGTCCCAACCCCACGCAGCCCCTGCTTTCCAGCTGTATGGGTTTGGCTGTTCTGGACATTGCACATAAATGGAATCACACAATTGTGAGACTGGTGTCTTTCACTAAACATACTCTTTCAAACTCATCCATGTTGTGGAGTTTTTTTTGTTTTCTGTTTTGGTTTTGAGACAGGGTCTCACTATCTAATTCAAGCTGGCCTCAAACTGGTGGAGTTCCTCCTGCCTCAACCTCCTGAGTCCTGGGATTACAGGCCTGTGCCAACACTCCAGGCTGGTGTGATTTTTTTTTTTTCCTTTTTCCTTTTTCATGTATGTGTTTGCGTATTATCCAAGTTGCATTCTCAGGTTGCTGAGCAACATCTCTAGCTCTTTTTATTTTTACTTTTTTGGGGTACTGGGGATTGAACTCAAGGCCTTCACAGTGAACTACATCCCCAATCTTTTTTGTTTTCGTTTTTTGAGACACGGTCTTGCCACGTAGTCCAGGCTGGCCTCCTTGAGCTTTGTTCGAGGCCAGTCTGGTCTACATAGCGAGACTTTATCTCAAAAAAACCAAATTAAAATAAAATTAAAAGTTGAGAAAATGTCTCACTACACTGTCAGACTGTGTTCACAATTTGAGATTGTCTTCCCTGGGTGGTGGGATTACAGGCCTGAGCCACCAGGTCTGCCGGAAAAAAGTCAAGAATGGAGAAAGCAGCTGTGTAGTGACAACTGTCCGTAATCCCTGTACCTCAGGAGGCCCAAGCAGGAATTCAAAGTTTGAGTCCAACTTGGGCAACTTACTGAGATCCTATCTCAGGGAGGAAAAAAAGCCTTTTTTTAAAAATGGTATCGAGCTTAGTGTGAAGGCCGAGTCAAATGTCCAGTATGGGGTGGGCTGGGAGGGTTCGGGAAAGTCTTCCTGACCAAGGTAACCACTAGGGGCTTCATCGCACTGTAGCGTTGTTTTGGCTGTTTTACGATCCTACCGGGCATTTTTCTCTTCAACCGGACTACAAACTGCAGAGAGGTTCACACAGTGCTTCCAAAGACGCCCCTACCATCCACCCTAAGCGCGCAAAGTACGCAAGGAAACCAACTCCTTTGCCAGCTTCGCATAGCGCGGGACTGCAGCGTGCGGGACCCGAGAACAAACAGCCAGGCGCCACGTCCAGGTCACACCCCAGCTCCGCCGTACCCTAGTGAGCCAGTGAGCCGCTGGGCCCGCCCAGACCCGGGGCGCGATTGGCGCAAGGTTCGCCTTCCGGGGGCCTGTCTACCCGGGGTCGCAGCTTTGGGGAGGAACCGCTCGGTGGAGAGCCAGCCATCTCTGTCGGGCTCCTCCCTGAAGGCGACATCCGGAGCCCCAAGATTGTGCCACCACTTAGCCGGCCCACTGGAAGACCCGAAGGCTCATGCTCGGCAAAGCGGAGGGTTCCGCCCCGGAAGCGGAAGTGCGGGTGCGGGTTCTGGTCCACTGAGAGCCAGTCCCGTCCGCCTCCCATTCCTCTTGGTGGTGTGTTGCGTTCTTTCTCCTGCCTGTGTCCCGCTCGCCGGCCCCGCCATGCTCTCTCTAGACTTTTTGGACGATGTGCGGCGGATGAACAAGAGGCAGGTGAGGTTGGCGCTCTCCGTGTCCCCACGTTCCCAGTATGCCTTCAAGGCCAGAGCGGCGGGACCCGGCGGACCTCTCGGCCGGTCATGAGGACCTCTCAGGTGTGACGCCTGGATAGTCCCCTGTCCTCAAGAATCTGTAGCCTGAGGCCGTGCAGTCTGCCAGGTGTGCTTAGTCCCCAGCCGGTTTGGGGCCTGTCTGGGTGCAGCGCGAGGATCTTCACGTCCCCTTTCTCCTGAGGCGGCACGGAAACCGTGGGGCACTCGCTGAGTGGGCATTGAGGGTGCTGGTTGTGTGGACCTTGTAAAGCGGCAAACTCGCCGTTTCTTCACGGTGGGCCTGGACAGACGAGGCCTAGCGCTTGACCACCCTTCCGGCTGCTGGGGCCCGGAGAGGGGTCTAGGCCCAACAGAAGCCGGGCTGCTGCTTTCATTCTGTTGCAACCCTTCCGGTCCAGCTGGGCCCCGCGAGCTGAACCGATTCTCGAAGACGGAACAGTCTACTTGTCCTTGAGTCCACTTAGCGCTCTAAATCGGTGGTTTTATTGTCCGGTGTAGGTGGCACAGGCCTTCTGATTTTGTCCCTAAACTTTACTCTGTCCTCTAAGTCGTGTGCCAAAAAATACTGAGAATCCTGTTACGATTTAGTCATTACAAACGGTTGCCGGGCCGGGGATTTAGCTCAGCGGTTCCGGCGCCTGCCTCTCAAGCGCAAGGTCCAGAGTTCGACCCCTGATACCAAAAAAACGGTTGCGACTTTTTGTCTTCACCAAATGTAACTGTGGAGTCTAGTTTTGCTTGCAGCCAATCTTTTTTTATAGTATTTTGCTATCAATAGTTATCCTGATGTTAGTATTAAAATTTTTTCTTAGACTTGTATTTTGCACTGTTTATAATTACTATTTAGGGGAAGTAGATATATAGCCTTCTCTTAATGGTCCTTCAGGCCTTAACTGTCTCTTTATCATCCTTACTTAAGACATATCTGAATTGTGAGAGTCCGGTGAGGGCAGTAAGAACAGCTTCAAAGAGCAACTGGCATTTAAGCTGGGTCTTGAAAGAAAGACCTTCATTTATTCATGCTGGGGATTGAACCTAGGAACACATGCTCATGGTAAGCATGCACTCCAGTGAACTGCACACCCACCTTCTGAATAGCCTCATTTTTGTGGGTTGGTTAGCATTTCGACAATTCAAGATGAAAAGAAAGTTGACGGAATACTTGCAGACCTGCTATGTGGTAGAATCTGAGGCTGCAGAAATGTGCAAGGCATACTTCCTGGGCCGGGGATTTAGTTCAGTGGTTCCATTGCCTGCCTTGCAAGCGCAAGGTCCCAAGTTGGATCCCCAGTACCAAAAAAAACAAAAACAAAAAACAAAGCATACTGCCTGCCCACAGAGTTAACCAGACTAAAAGAGAAACAAGAGTATTAATTACAGTATTATAGAACAGTGTGATAAATACTATAACAAAATTATAGGGAAAGGGAAAAGGGACATGGTGAGAAAATGAAGAGGCGGTCCTGCCTTTCTGTTTCCCTAAGACAGAATAATTGTAGTGCAGAATTCATTGCATCAGGACATTCAGGATTAGTGAAAGATAAAGAGATTATTAGAAGTGAATGGGAGGGATTGGATGGCATGAGGATGGAGGAAGGGAGTTATAAAAGACTTTACCTGTACATAATATCTAGGGAAAAGAATTGATGGTGACTGTAGATATTGACAGCTAATCAAACAAAGGAAACTAGAATTTGGGTTTTATTCCTTAAAAATTGTTGCTTTTGTAGTTATGTCTAATTACATGTCACTCACTTATCAAATGTTTGTTTTGTTTGACATTGATTGGTTTCTGAGATTTTTTTTTTTTTTTTTTGGTACCAGGGATTGAACTCGGGTCCTTGCACTTGCAAGGCAGGCGCTGGAACCACTGGGCTAAATCCCCGGCCTGAGATTGATTGATTTTGTAGTAGTGGTTTGAACCCAGTGTCTTTGTACTGAGCTATATCCTTATTTGTTTAAGTTTTTGCAGTTGTGTGCACCTGTCAAAATCAATATATATAACATTTCTGTCGCCCACAAGCTCCTCTTTGCCCCTTTGTAGTCTTTTCTTCCCCAGCCCCAGACAACCACTGATTTGCTTTTTGTTAGTATAAAGAGGTTTGCATCTTATATAAATGGAACCATAGAAAATGTACTAAATTTTATTCTTTGCTGTTTTGTTTGGCCTTTTTTTTGGAAACAGAGTCTTGCTCTGTAGTTCAGGCTATCCTTGAGCTCACTATGTACCCTATACTGGTCTTGAACCGGAGGCAATCCTTCTTCCTGCCTCAGCCTCCCAAGTGCTGGGATTATAAGGATGCGCCACCACACTGGGGAATGTTTTGTTAGGCTTTGAGATATCTTGCTATGTAGTTGAGGCTGGCCTTGAACTTATAATTCTCCAGCTTCAGACTCCCAAGTGCTGGGATTACAAGTGTTTACCGCCACACCTGACCTTTTAATTGATTTTTTTCCTCTATTTAATTTTTAAAGACTTTTTTTTTTAAGAAGAGTTTTAGGTTTGCTGCAAAATTGAAAGAACAGTGCAGAATTTCCCATATACTCTGTCTTGATACATGCCTACCTTCCACCATTATCAGCGTCTCCCACTAGAGTAATGTACTTGTTAAAATTTTTTTTTTTGGTACAGGGATCAAACTTGGGACCTTGCGCTTGCGAGGCAGGTGGTGGAACCACTGAGCTAAATCCCTGGCCCATATTTGTTAAAAATGATAAACCTGTATCGCTGTATGTAAGGTTCACTTTTGGGGGGGCGGGGGGGGGTTACTGGGGGTCGAACTCGGGACCTTGTGCTTGTGAAGCAGGCAGCAGCACCACTGAACTAAATCCCCGGCCCATGTTAGGTTCACTTTTTACAATGTAGAGTCTGGGCTTGGATAAATGTAATGACATGTATCCACCATTATAGTATATAGAATAGTTTCACTGGCCTAAAAACCTCTGCACATTGCCTTTCATCGCCCTCTCACCCTCAAACCTTGGCAGCCACTGATGTGTTTACTGACTCCAGTTTTGCTTTTCCAGAATGTCATATACCGTAATTGGAGTCATACACTTGCATTCCCACCAGCAGCAGTCTCTCCAGGACTTGAGGCCTTATGCAGGAGTACTGTGAATTTGAAGCAAGCCAGGGCTACATAGCAAGACTGCCTCAAAAATGCTAGATGTGGTAGTGTACTCCTATAATCCTGGCAAGAGGAGTGCCAGGAGTTCAGTGCTAGCCTGAGCTATGTAGCAAAACCCTGTTTCAAAATCAAACAAAAAAATTATTTGGTGTTGTCAGTGTTCTGGAATTTGGCCATTTTAACATGTCATGTGATTGTTGTATTAATTAATTGTTGTATAAACTGTCTTAAAAACATCAATCTTTTCTTTTTTGAGACAGGGTCTCCATATGTAGCCCAGGGTAGTCTCCAGCTTGATATGTATCTCAGGCTGGCCTTGACCTGGAAATCTTCCTCCCTCAGCATACTAAGTCCTGGTGTACTCTTCCACTGAACCACACCCCAAACCCTTGTACAGTGGACTCTGGAGTTACGACTGGCCTGACATGTGGACAACTTGGGTTACAACTGGAATTTTAAACTTATGACCAAAGTCTTGAGTTACGACCCGAATGCTGGCCATTTGTGCTTCCATATGGTCTCAGATGCAGGTTTAACCCTTAAAGAGTTCTGGAAGGAACATTACCATATCCTTTCCTGTTCAAAGTTAATTGAGAAATCCTGGACCAATGTCTGTCTAAGGACACTGAGATCTGCCTGTACACAGGAGAAGGAATTTGAAGGCTGTGTAGAAGACCCTGAGCCTTCATTGACCAACTTGAGTTACAACCAGCCCTGGCAAACAAATTGAGTTCGTAAGTCAAGGGTCCAGTGTATTAATTTTTGGGTGTTTTGTTTGTTGTTTCTTGAGACAAGATACTCCCTATGTAGTTGAGGCTGGCCTTAAACTCACTGTGTATCCCAGACTGAGGGCCTCAAACTCATTTCCATCCTCCTGCCTCACCCTCCTAAATGCTGGGATTACAGGCATGTACCACATGACCAGCCCTTGTACTAATTTTTAACGTTTTTGGGGGGGGGGGGGACCGGGGATCGAACTCAGGTCCTTGCACTTGCACAGCAGGCGGCGAAACCACTGAGCTAAATCCCCGGCCCTCTTGTACTGATTTTTAACAGCACCGTGTTTAATAACTGGCTTGGAAAACATAGTTTGGTTCTAGCAAACCATTGGTTAATATGAGAGTTTTTGATGCACATTGAGGTGACATTTGTGTGAAAAGCCTATTCAGCATTCTCTTTAGTTTTAAAAAATTAATATTCAACTTATAAAAGCTAAAACATGGTATTTTGTCCAACTGATTATTAAGATCCTCTGCTAAGGTAATTATTTGAGAAGCATTTATATGGGACACAGTTATCTTCACTTTTTTTGCAGTCCTAAAACTAGAAACTAGGACCTCCTACATTCTAGGCAAGTGCTCTACCACTGAGCTACATCCCCAGCCTTTTTTTTTTTTTTTTTTTTGGTACCTGGGGATGGAACTCGGGACCTTGTGTTTTCGAGGCAGGTGGCAGCACCACTGAGCTAAATCCCCGGCCCTCCCAGCCTTTTTTTTTAAACACATACTATATTTACAGAGTAGTACAGATATTGTTTTGTACTTTACTCTCTTCTCGTTATCATTTAAACATTTTGGTAGGCACACTGTATGCCATGATGTAGATGTACCAAAGCAGATTTTTTTCCTTTTTCTTCTGGTGCCAGGGATCAAACCCAGGGCCTCATGCTGCCAGGCAGCCATTCTACTGCCACACTACCCAGCCTAATTATCTTCATTCATTTTTACCTGTTTGGAGTCCTCTGACCACGTACCTCTTCATCAGACTTCTTTTTTTTCCAAATAGGGTCTCATTATGTAGTTTGTGCTGACCT